GTGGGGATGGGAAATCATGTACTGATTAGAATTTAAGGACAAATGCAACAATACGAACGTGAAGGAAGGTTTGTCTTCTAAAATTTACCCTATTTATTAACCTAATTACGACGATACTGTACCTTGCCTTTGCTTGATGGCTTGCGTGCCTCCAGGACCCTGCGAGCTACACAGGATGGCTTTTCACAGCCGAAGATCCAATCATGTCAGAAAGGTCAATGGGTAGAGACCAGATAAAGTTGTCTCATCCCGCTAGATGGATGCAGGAGCGGGGTACCTGGTATTCCTACTAAAGGTGAGAGAAGTATTCGCACTTCACTGGACAGCTACCGCCAATCAAAGCTGGTCAGCCCCCAGCCAACAGAGTCATGTCCCCTTCACTTTCCGCTTGTCTCTTTGGGTGCTTGAGATTAAGGGCCAATCCCAAACAGCGAGCCAATAACCAACGCACCAGCGAACGCTAAACTGAATCGAAACCCAAAGGCCTTGCATGATAGGTCTCTAGAAGCTTCGAAACGGGTGCTTTGGTCACGATCCCGCGTCGGGTCTACGCCCCGCTGCCTTGTGGGTCAGACATTTGAGTCGAAAGCTCCGGTTAGGGTTCCCAAAGAAAAACCCCTTCGTCGGTGTGGGCTACCGCGAAGTATGCCGTGGCTCCAAAGTCTTAGGTACCCATTTGGAAAAGCCTCTCTCATCTGTTCACTTCCTCTTCTCACTCCCAAACCTTAGGAGATGCATGCAGTTTTCGCCACCCATGGGATATAACACTGCGTTCAACTAATGAGGTCAACCACTCGTAGGCTATCAGATTTTTGAAACCAAAATCCCCTTTCCATTTAAGCGCACTCAATGTTCGCACACTCTAACAGATCGGTCAACAAGCTGCCTTAGATAGAACCCTTGAAACTTTCAATTCAGATGTATGCTGTGTCTCCGAAACACGCATAAAAGACCTTACGTCCATTATCTCCCTTCGTTCACCCCAACCTCACGCTTCGCTCTCCATGTGTCAGGCGATTCGGCATCCGAAGCTCGTGGTTTCACTGGTGTTGGGATTGCGCTGAGTATCAAGGCCGAGAGTTCACTTCTCGACTGGATCCCGGTTAGCAGCCGACTGTACGTCTAGATGATTCAGCACGAAGCAACAGCTGCAGAACGAAGCGCCAGCGCTTATTCGTCATATCCGCGTATGCACTGACTGATTGCAGTTCGCCAGAAATGAAGGATGAGTTGTACAAGAGCATCTCTCATCTGCTCCACAATGCTCGGTCAACGGACACCTAGTAGTGATAGCTAGAGATTTTAATGCTCAAGCGGGATCTCTGGACCGAGCTGAAAGGTTTCTTGACGGTCCACATTCAACCCCATCCAACCGGACGGACAACAGAGAACGCCTACTTCAACTCTGTTTGGATCACGGATTGTTCCGTCAAACACAAACTTCCACCACAAGAAAAAATACCGTCTCACATGGAAACCTCCTACCTCCTCATAATAATGGCTTCAAATCGACCACATCGCCATCAGTTACTGCTGGTGGAGGTCGATTCAAGACTGCCGCTCTTACTAGTCAACACCCGTGGACACAGACTATGGTCCGCTACGAGCCACATTCGCCATAAGCCTGGTAAAAAAACGCCGAAGACCACCGAAAACGGACACCCACAATACGATGTCAACAATGTTTGCAAATGAGCCTTCCAAGCGGAACTCTCCGATCTCCTCTCAGCTCAACCAAGCACCGAAGGACTCAATGAAAACTGGACTTGCACGGAGAAACCACTAACGGTGGACCTCTGCTGTCTTACTGGACACCTGAGAAGCCAGTTCTCGTGATTCAAAATATGGCAGAGCGCAAATACCTTATACGCCAACTCATCAAGAATCTGAGGAATGACCGCGAGAATTGGTGAGTATCGAAGTGTACATGCAGCGGCTACCGGTACTGGTAGCAATCTCTTCCGTCTAATTAAGAATATGGGCCCCGGGAAAGCAGGCGTGAGATAATTAAGGAGAATGATGGCACACTGCAACGCCGTCTTGATCAATGGGTACAACCGGCTCCCATCGAAATCTGACCTATTACCCCCTACCTCGACTGGAAAAATACTCCCGA